CACGAGCCACTGACAACTCTTTGCTATATCTTTCTGCTTGAAGGATCTTTGATCAGAAAACTACTCGCGTCAATCTCCCCCGCCATCACCCAGACAAACTACCCTTGGCCCGTCTGCTGCTCTTGCATCGTCCTTCTTACTCCCCCCTCTTGTAGCGCTCCTTCTAGATTCATTTTAACATTGACTCTTAAATTCGCCTCGATTGTATACTTCACTATTTTGTTTACATTACCTGTTTAGTTGTCAATTACTACTCTGCTTGGAAATCTTCTGTGCCGGATTTCATTACTGTTTTGAGAAAATTGGGATGGATGGTTTGTCGCTTGATGTGTCCATACAGCTTCCATCTGTATTTCTTATTACTAATGCCAGCAGCGCAGTCGAGCTCGCAAAGCAGTGCGGTTTGCGCCCTGTGGTCGTTCTCCACTTGGTTTTCCAGCATTGTATGCCGTCGGCCCAACATCCTATCTTGACCCGACTTAACCACTTATATCCACTTTGGTACCCACTATGCCGGCAGCGTCGTTCACTCAGGGGTTTAGAAAAGTGGCTTCGCGACCCAGTTGTCTCTGCTCGGCGGAGTACGTGGTCCAACCATCTGGGACGACGTTCCTTTACAGCATTGTCGATAGGCGTTCTCGACCAGCGGCGGAGTTCCTTGTCCCAACCGAGTCGTGGTCCATGGGCCGAAGGCAAACGCATGTGGAGTATCTTTATCATCTGCTGGTCGGCAGCGCACAGAGGCCAATTTCCTCACCAATTGAGCATGATGACTTCATCCGTAGACTCGGAATCGGGTTTTCGTTCTCTGCTGAATACACGGCGAGATTACAGACACTCCTAAAGTCTGAAGAACATGTTGTGTGCGAGATGTGTTTAGCAGTTTAGCTCCTCCTGACATGGTCTTGTCGCTATCACTTGGATGTTCGGAAAAGGACATCAATTTCCCGAACCTCCACCTGGGGCGAGAGGCCCTCATTTCCTGCGGACTGCCTTCCCTCCGGATATTGAATAGCTGGTGTACTCTGGGTGCGAGGCTCACTTCCGGCATGCTTTCATTATTCCGATGGTAGTTGCATGCTCCTCCAAAGCAGGTAAGTTATGGCTCAACCGCTGAGATGACCATGGTTCTGCCCATCCCTCTACATATTAAACGGAATTTGACACGTCTCGTCTGGGCTGACAGCGCTGTCGCACTCGACTTACTCATGGGATTGTAAATCCATTTAGGGGTCAGAATAGCCTTTAATAAAATTGTCCTCTCGCCACCATCAGACAGCGTAGAGGTTCCTCAGGGAAAAAGTAGAGACGGTCCTCCGGTTCGTATTTATTTGCCTCTCTAATCAGGGCAACCCTCCTGACAGCTAGGGGCCACCATCAGTCCACAGCGGTTGGAATCAACAGTTGTTCGTGACGCACACCTGTCAGGCTCCTCTTAGTCCACATGAATCCTGAGCCATTTCCGCGCGTGCGTGTATCAACCGTCGGACGGAGGCTCTACTCCAGATCAGCCGCTTCGTCTAATCTCATCGCCAGTTAGCCGAGATGCATGAACATGCCGCTGAGTCCAGCGAGAGAGAAGAGGGTGGAGAACGCCTCTTGCAGGAAATCAATGCATCCCTGACCATAGTAAGTTTGACGCGCCTGAACCTATCACGATGCGGTAAGAGTCATGGTTTGAAAGCGGTTGCCACGTGGCGAAGTAACTTGGTCCTAGTGAGTGTCAGGCCACTATGTGTCATCCATAATGAGGTCTGTATGGCGCCCTCACTTATGTGTGGTATGAAACACTGCCTTGAACGCAGTCGGGCACGTGTGGAGTCGGGGGTGAGGTCGTGTAGGACACGCGTAAGCTGGCCGCTGCGCTCACGCGCACTCTCCGGTCGCCATCGCTTTTCCCTGCCATCGCAAGTCCGTTGGCTGTAAACAGATTCATTGACAAGTCATGGTTGCGCCGGCCCCATGGGACATTGGTGAATGTCATCGTTTGTGACAGTCAAACCACTGACTCCTTGTGGCCAGCTTCAGTCCCCCCCCCACCCCTCGTCCGCCGTAGAAATGGGCACGCCTGGCCGTCATGCTGTCCTTCTTGCCATCCTATCAAGTTGTCTGTTACCCGAACCTTGGCCAACGGCCGGGCCGACTGCGCCGACTGCCGTCACTAAAGCGGAATGTGTGCCTAAGGGAGATTTTCACTACTAACAGAAACTTCTTCATCTACCTGTCATGCTTAGTAGAGGCATTTCCCTCTCTCGGGTTCACCAAAACATTGGTTAATTAGAAGAAAAGTAGGACTCACCTAGATGCAGGAGACCAGTGGCAGCATAGGTACTACCTAAAAGCCCAGACACGCCGATATTCTATCGATGTATGACGCAGCTGCAAGGGGTTCAGCTCATCTGTAGGTCCTTCAAGCACCCCCAGCCCAGTGTGCTTTCGGGTAGATACTCCAGTTTTGAAACTGCTGCCGTTTAATCTCTTTAATGTTGTGCTTCCATTAAGGATTGTTTGCAGGTCACGGCTCTTGCAACTACCTTACCGTGTGTTCGTTGTTTCGGTCTCCCTCTTCTTACTCTGTTTGGACAACAGTGATTGTCACCTGGGACTTTGGTTTTAACTTTCCCATTGCCAGTTATTCTCCATGCATCCTCCTCTGTTGTACCCGGCTGTAGATCCACTGAGGTCAAAGGAGGACTGACGACTTCTCCTTGTCAGTAGTTTGGTACTTTCTACCATCATCTGCCGACGTCGTGTCACTCCAGGCGGGCGGTCGACCCTCATTCCAAATAGCGCGACGTAACTGGCTACGATCACAGAATGGTTCGCCGTGCCCTGAGCTGGTTACCTTCTTGATTTCGGACCCTTCGTATTGGTGAATGGCCGTCGCCTTTAGAAAAACTTTCCGCAAAGATTGATCTTGTCCATTGTGGTCGCCGCTCAGACGATAGTTCGATCATCACGAACGATACCGTGTGCCCCGCATCATGGCGGACTCAGGGACTGCGACTTGAACGTGAAGTAGTTTATGATGTTGGCAGACTTGCGAAGCATCTGCCGCACTCTGCCCCCCCAGGTCGCTCTGGCTGCAAGAGATGTTCTGCTTCTGTTATGCATTTGCAGCTCGCCCGACTGAAGGAACACTGGACAACGTGCGGCAGCGTTCTTTTAAGAGTTTCATAGATCTAAAGATTACTCGGTTTTGCCTGAACCGATTTGTATGTTTGACTGTGTGTTTTTAACGAACTTCAGTATTTGCGCATATATACGAAACAGTGTTACACTACTTGAAATGTTTTAAACTCTATCTACTCCTCTTTGACTTTGCTGCTCTTTCATTCGAATTCTACCTGCGGA